TAATTAAATATTTTAATCATAATATCAAGTTAATGTATGTTATTTTTGCAAAAACATTTAACTAAATTCCTTAATATAACATCATTCGAATTTTTTTTTGAAATAATTACTTTTTTAAAAAAGATTATCTCTATAAATTAATATTTTAATTTATAAAGAAAATTTATTAATTTATCGATTAATCTATCTATTAAATACGAAGTGCAAAAGCTTATGTGGCGGCTCGAGGAAGCCTCTCAAGGGGGTACTTAATTGTATTTATTTAATGATGTCCTTCATGTTTTCACTAATTAAATTTTGCCCGTAAAATCGGATGGGCTTTCATTATGATTATATTGGGCTGTGTTCGAAATTATAATTTTTTCTCAAGGCCCTTTGTAATAAACTCTAGGTTCCATTGTCGACTTCTTATAAATATCGATCTCCCTACCCTCAAGCAACATTAATATCGAACCCTAGGTATGCTTTCTCCATCGTTTTTTTATGGATTAATATATGTTACACGAATTTGCACATAATCATTTGCTTATCGACGTGTTTGAGATTTGGTAATCATATCATTATGCTCCTGATCAATATTTCGTGTTCTTTTGATACATCATGTATATATATTGGTTTATGTTGTTTTTAATATCTTGCCCCTTTGTTAGTGATTACCAAAACAAAGATGCACTTGCTGTGATACTCATATTGCTTTGTTAGGATATCATCAGCACGTCTGTTGTTTGATACCAAAACCTAACTTTTTGAATTTTATAAATCAATTTTGATTACGATCTAGGAATCAATGTAAATATCATCTAATGGAATGATTATTTTGGTGTAGCTTCTACAACAGATCCGTACGGAGAACCCATATTTGCCGAGGGATTATCACAGAAACTTACCGACCCGTTTGACTTTGGAGGAAGATTGGCCAACCCGAAAAAAGTATATGATCCGAGTCCGCACATTGTAACGTAAGTTCGCACATGCGTATGGGACAAGTTTTGTATCCTTTTACTACCTATATATTAATTGTTTTGCGTTGTGTATATATTTATATTTTTTTAATTTATATTTTTAATAAATCACACTGTCGACATCATTAAGCTTAGTGCTCTTTTGTTTCATACATATTAGTTTAATATAATTTGTGTTTATTTATTTGAAGAAGATTGTATTTCTTCTGTTACAAGTTACAATCTTGTCTTAAACCCCACTTTTCCATATAATTTTTTTGTAGGAGTATTGTCTATTGATTCTACAATGACCCGTGTTGGAGTTACTAATCTAGATGGTCGCATTGATGGTATAGTTATTAGTTCTAATTTTTTCTTATTTTTTTGTTTATAATTGTTTACAAAGTTCGATTGTTTTTTACATCATTCTTAATCCTAACTTGAATAATTTTTGTGAAGGGTCACTATCTATTGATTCTACAATGATCCATGATGGAGTTACCAATCTAGATGGTCACATTGATGGTATATTTATTTCTTAAAACTTTCCGATGTTTCTAATTGTTTCTTTATATTCTCACTTAGATGTTGATCTGATTTTTCTCCGTGTTTTACTCAGGGCAAGTGTCCCATCTTCGTATTGTGCAACCGCCATCTCCTATACCTCTGTCATTTCATTTACCAATTCCTTGAGTTCCTGTTTATCGTGATGGTGGTTCAGTGGATTATACTTTTAAGTGTGTTCCCATTCATATTTTTTTCATGGTTGGAATACAATCGCCTGCATGTCAATACCAGAATCTACACGTACGTAGAATTCTCTATGAGGTATCTTTGGGATCCAATCAAGTTGTGGTATGCACGTCGAAGTATTCCTCGCCATGATGTTAGAAATCGATTGGTTTATATTCCAACCACTGCTGGTGAGGTTTATTTCTTGCGGTGTCTCTTGCTCATTGTCCGCGGTCCAACATCTTTCAAAGATATTTGAACCATACGTGGCATTGTCTATCCGACTTTTGGAGATGCATGTTTTGCTTATGGCTTAATTGACCAAGATCTATAGTAGCGATTTATTCCTCCATCCTTACCCTTCGAAATTTACTTGGTTTTGTTAAGTCTCATGGTATTTTGCGTTTTGTGTTTGTACAATTATCATCAAGGGTTTTTATATTTATTCTATTCTTATTCTGAATTACATTTTTTAGATATGCTTTCACTAGATGTTGTGTTGATATTCTTATAGTCAAATTTATCTAAATTTTTATCTATGACTAAACTAAACTAAATTTTTATCACTTTATTACTCTAAATTAATTATATAAAAATGTAAATTGTCATAATTGAAGATCACCATCTCCAACCGGTAAATGAATTTTTCAGCTAAGACAAACACCATTTGATGGCTCGGGAGGAACCGGTAAAACATTAGGAATT